ACTCTTATACCATAGGGCTCAGTCGGCTCTCAATCATCGGCATAACTCTTATACCATAGGGCTCAGTCGGCTCGGAGATTTGTTTTGTGGGGCTAGATGGAGTAGAAATGAAGTAGCTTTTCATAAGTGTCTTCCTTCTGGAGACTTGTGCCCCTTTTTTGGACACAACAGAGGCTGACAATTTTTTGGGAAACCTGTGGGTCACAGAATTCCTGCAGGAGTAGTACAGGCCCTTATACAGTAAGGTTGATATTCTAAAGCCATACATACCCAAAGTGCTTCCATACTTAATAAATATTCATTTACAGACATTCTAATGAAGCATCTGATGTTAAATGTGGCCAAAGTGTCCATTCAGACGATAGTGCTTGGACCCCAATAATCACTGCCTGCGGTTATGGTTCTTTGCTTGTAATTTTATGAAGTCACTTTTCATCTCAGATCTAACTCCAGTCATCTATTTCCCATTTTTGGATCAACACCATTACCTAAATATCCCATAGCTGAAATGTAGTTTATATGCATTTTTCTGGGGGGCAGACAATATAGGTGCCCCCCCTAAATATGCATGCTACTTGGGTTTGAAATATCTTTGGTTTATCTTTGTTTACTAAAGATTCTCAAAAGTATTGAGTATTGTACAGACCCCAAAAAACTGGCTCACATAGTCATGCGAAAAACATTTACATGTGATTTAGTGTGAATGGGGAAATGGAGGGGAGGTCACTGTACAAACAGGGGGGACTAAACAGGACTAAATGCGAAACAGAACAATTACTGGCACATGCAACACCTGGCACAAGACACATTATTCACGTAAATGATACAGATAGGAGCTATTTACACACGGCGCGGGGTACACTGGGAAACATGCAAATTACGACCGGCTGGTAATTTTTCATTTTCACCAATTCAAATTTCTGCTATCCAGCGACATGGTATTTTAGTATACTTTGGATCATTCTGGGGTGAGTTTCCTGAAGCGTTCTTAACGCTACGTCGTTCTTAAGTTCTGTGTTAAAAGATAGAACTAACGAACGACGTAGCGTTAAGAAGGCTTCGGGAAACTCACCCCTGAACAATACAGAAGCAAGGAGACCCTAAGAGATCAGAAAGGGAAATATTTTTTTTAATTGTTTTGCGTTCCCTTGCAATACTTTTGGATTCGCTCAATAGCTTTGTATGGTGGCCGAGAAAGCCCAATAAAAATTCAAAATAAAGAAACGCACGTCTAATAGAAAAATACGCTGCAAAGCAACAAAGCCTATTATTCAAGTTCATAACGAACCTCCAAACACACTGCAAATTCAAAGACACTACACAAATTTAGTATTTGCGGCTTGCATGTGTTGTCATTTTGATGCAAGTGTTTTCTTCCCTGCTACCTGCACGCTGTCTATATCCTGCCATCTCCCTGCTGCCTGCTCACTGTCCTCATCCTGCCATCTCCCTGCTGCCTGCACACTGTCC